TTTTTTTTGAAAAGCCTTTGTTCCCATTTGCTTTTTTCGTTTCCGATTCTTTCTTGATTTTGGAAATAAGTGTTCACATTGAGGAAAAGGGATCAAAGCTTTTTTTTGCCCTTTGTTCTATTGTTTCCCGTATTTTAGTTGTCATCTTTGCCATTGTCAGCTCAACGAACAGCGATCACTCTTGAGGAGGATCCAGCTAAAGCTGAGGCTTTTCAGGTAAGGTCAAAAATAGAACGATTTTTGATGCCGTTGTTGTTTTATGCATTACTTGGAAAGAAAGGTGTTGGAAAACATTTTGCCTAATGCATACACCCTTTAAAGCGTGAAGTCCATACTGACTTTATGCAAATGCGAGGCCAGCCTGAGATGTCTTGGATGGAGTATATGTCTATGCCATCACGACAACCAACAATTCTTTGCGTAATCTTCCGCTCTCTCATAGAAAGCCCTCCGGAACATCAGATTGTGCCACCTGTGATCTACCAGTGAGAATTCACATTTTTTAATTGTTGACTTTTCTTGTGGCTAATTTTATCACTCATTATCTCTAGAATTCTTGATCGTCAAACATGTCGTGAGCATGTTTTGGCTGTGAATGCCCTAGTGGACTACATTATTTCGCAATGGAATGCAGAAAAGAACTTGGAAGAGTTCCTGCCCATGGTAAGCATTTTAGTTACATATCATTAGTGATATTGTTTCGTTAACCTTTTTGGAACGTTTACTTACTAAATTTGCTACTACCACCATTATCCTATCTGTCATTACATCTCCGTTTTAGATGATCAGAGTGCTTAATATGATGGTTTTTCATCGGCATGTCATGACTTTTGATCGACTGTTACTGTCTCTTGTACTACATCCAGCTACAGATCATGCTAGCCAAATAGCTATGGTCATCGTTCAGGTTTGTCCAACTATCATGTGATCAGAATCATGTTCGTTTTATGCTGTGTAACCCATATATATTGTTTCAAACCTTGGTTTTTTAATCGAAAAATTTGTAGCAGAGCTGTAGATTTTGATTCTAAAATTTTTTTCTTTTGAAGATTTAACTTCAGGCTCTTTTGAACTGCACAGAAATTAATGAAAGAATTGACTTTTATTGCCGTTACATACCCAAACGGGACGTGGACGCTCCAGAGCATTTCCGCCGCCTCGCCGAATATCACAGAGTGAGTAATTCTAAATATATGTGCACGTATTT